ACTACTAGTTCTACTACTACTACTACTACTACTACTACTAGTAGTACTACTACGACTACTACTACTACTACTAGTACTACTACGACTACTAGTACTACTACTACTACTACTACTACTACCATTCCTATTACTACTCTTACTCCTCCTCCTACTACTACTACCACTACCACTACTACTACTACTACTACTACTTCTTCTTCTTCTACTACTACTACTACTCCTACTCCTACTACTACTACTACTACTACTACTACTACTACTGCTACTACTACTACTACTACTACTACTACGACTACTGCTACTGCTACTGCTACAGGGGCAGGAAAGGTGCGCGTTCCTCCCCTTCCCAGGGTCCCAGACCCGCTTCCGACAGCGCCCCCCCTGAGATCCGACGTGACGAAAGAACTGCGACATCGTATACATCAGACCAGATCACTGGACTCAGAGCAGGGAAAAGGTACCTATACCGCTTCCCCTGCCTCGTCGTCGCCTTTGTGGGCCTCCTGGGCGGCCCTCCTCGTCACCGCTGGATTTGCCTCGAAATCCATGTCAGAACGCACCCTGGGAAAGGTCTGGAGCGTGGCGGCACCTGTTGGTTCACCCATGTCTGCTGCATTTTTCGAGCGTGTTCGACCCGTGGGGCCCAAAACATGGCAAAACCGCCCGTGGTGAGAAATTGTAGCGTCTGGATCTCGGGGCAGGATGAAAACGCTGAACCCCCCTCTCTGGCGCGCGGAGCACGCCAGGGACGGCGCCGGAGGCGCCTCCAAGGGGGGGCCCAGCAATCCGCGCGGACCTGCGAAAGTTCATGTTCATGGTTTTTGGGGTTCTTCTAAAACTTGTGAGTCTGCGGTCGGCGTTTCGGGAGAACGTTCCGATTTCGACCAGATCCTGGTCCCCAGGGTGGGGGGCCCAAACCCGAGTGTTTCCCGCTCGCCTCTGCGGACGACGCCGACGTGGAAAACCAGCGCTCGCGCGCACATGGGTACCACTGTTCGTCGCTCGTGGTCCCTTCGACCTCCGTCCTCCGCGCCCTCCGAGCGGCAGGTGCCGCGCAGCGCACTCGCCGCCGCGGCCGCAGCGACGGAAGAGAGGGGGAGAAGGAGAAGGCCGAGGATGAACAGGAAAAGTTGAAGTGGGAGCGGGAATGGTCACGTCGCAAAGCGAAGACGAATCAGCTGGGAAGCGAGGAGGCACATTCCGAAGACGATCATCATGCCGCCTGGACTTCAGTGGAACATGCAGATAGGCAAATACACGCCATGCAACCGTCACCAGAGCTTTCGCACGGCACACACCGGCATACGATACAGATAGGCAAGCTTGAATGGTGTAGCACATCACAAGATTTTACCTGGTTGCCAGAACGTGAAACAGAACACCATTTGCTTTGCATGAGATAGCCTCTCCACACAGCAGCCCCGGAAACGACAAGTCTGACTCAAGACACGGATGAGGGTGGTGTACATAGCCTTATAGAGTACCATAGCGGCACCGTGAGCCATGATGCATCAAACACCGACTCACGGGAAATATACGCCGAGCAGTCCACACTAACATAAAACACACACATTGAAATGGTTTCAGCATTTGCACTGCAGCGCGCGCACACGAACGATGTCCCGCCCGACCAACGCATTGAAGTACGCCGAGGCCACAGAGAGAGTCATTGGGATGGGCTCATCGCCCGCTGCACGTCCTGACCCAACCTGTGGCCTGGAACGGATCTTGCCGACGATACGCAGGACAGGAGCATGCCGTAGGCGCACCAAATAATACATTGGCCTGCGAACGGGTGTTCCACGATGATTCCTTACCTCCCGATGGGCCCACAAAGCCCTGGGGCACCTCACGAGGCTCAGAGTCCAGGACAGATGTTCCCTTAGGTTCCTTGCAGCAAGAGCTCACACCGTATGTGCCGTATGTACTCTGCCCGACGCCCGCCGGGACGAAGGGAGAGTGCTCCCGGGCCTCGCAGCGCTGCCCGGAAGCGCCGGGCCCGACCCGCGGCCCCCCCCGAAGCCACCAGTGCCCGCGGGGAGGCCCCGCCCCGCGGGTGCCTTGAGGGCAGGGGGTGGCGGAGGATGGAGGCGAAGCGTGGCGTCGCAGGCCCAGAGGTTGACACCAACGCCAAGATCGGCGGTGTTCCTGCACCGAGGGAAGAAGATCCCGATCTCGGTGAGGGTGGTGCTATTCTTGCTCCCAAATGTGACCGAAATATGACCACCAGCACCGAGATCTAGGATCTCGTCTCCCCCCTGTGGAGGCAGCCCCCTGTCTTGGGGTTGATGCCCATTTTTCCAGGCCGCCGATGGTGGTGGTTCTCTCTGGTCTCTCCGCCCCTGCCTTCCTCTCTTCTCGGGTCGCCCTTTCCTGCCTCCCGTCTGTCGTTTCCACGCTTCAGTCGGGCGTGTCCCCCTACAGGGGGACTTCGGGCGAGAAATATGAAGTGCTCAAGCAATACCCCCTAAATGCTCAGAAATAGTCCACACAATCGTCCCCGGACTGTTGTTTGACTATTCTTGAGTACTCCCCCTGTAGAGGGACGGGCCCGACTTGATGCCACGTTCCTCCAGGCCTCCCGGGGCCTGCCCTCCCCTGCCCGTGCCTGCCGCTTCCTGTCCTTCTGACGTCCTCCCCCCTGCCGGGGCCTCGCTCCTCCCTCTGTTAACCCCGATCTTCGACAGGCCTTCCCCACGTCCTCTCCCCCTCCGCCCTCTTCCTCCTCCTCCTCCTCCTCCTCCTCCTCCTCCTCCCTCTCCTCCTCCTCCTCCTCCTCCCCTTGTCCTCTTCCCCCCGTCCTCTCCCCAGCCCCACGTCCTCTCCACCCTTCGCTGAAGTCGGGCCTGTCCCCCTACGGGGGGAATATTCAAAACTAGTCAAACAATAGTCGGAGGACGATGTTCTGACCATTTTTGAGCATTTGGGGGGTATGTTTTGAGTTTTTTTGTTCGCCCAAAATCCCCCTGCAGGGGGACACGCCCGACTTAACCCTTCCCCTCGCCCTCTTCCTTCACATGGCCCCAGGTGGATGATGGAAATCGCGTCGAGATCCCAGACTTGGACAGCCAGCCGTTAGCAGGGCCGCCCCCCCCTGCCAACAAGACGGCGTGTCATGAGTGACGGCGTCAGCAGTGCAGTGAGTGGAGCAGAGAACACGACACGTGGCTTCGGACGGATAATTATTTAATCGCTTCGCTCATTCCGCCGGCCCATACAGTCTCATGTCTGCCGTTTGCCCGAGGGCCTGGTGTCAATGCGGCGCTTTGGGGGTTCCTGGGGCCGCTTGGGGGACTCCTGGGGCGCTCGGGGGGGCATTTGGGGGGCCTCCTGGGGCCGCTTGGGGGACTCTTGGGGGCCTCCTGAGGGCCTCGTCGGGGCCTCTTGGGGCCTCTTAGGGGCCTCTTGGGGCCTCGGAGGGGCTTCTTGGGGCCGAGGGCTGGAAATGTTGTTTCGTGTTCCCTCTCTTGGGGCGTTCTTGGGGCCCTCTTGGGCCGTCTTGGAGGCTTCTTGGGCCGTCTTCAAGCCCTCTTGGGCCATCTTGGGGCCCTCTTGGGGGCCTCTTGGGCCCTCTTGGGGCGATCTTGGGGGCCTCTTGGGCCGTCTTGGGGCGTCGGGAAGCCGAAAAGGTGGAAGCTCCAAAATCTCTCAAAAACCTAAGGAAAATCAATGAATTTTGCCTCCGGAGGCCCTCTTGGGAGTGCTCTTGGAGGCCTCTTGGGGCGTCTGGGGGCCATCTTGGGCGTCTTGGAGCGATCTTGTGGCATGTCGGACCCCTCGTGTACCATCTTGGGGGCCTCTTGGGGGCCTCTTGGTTTTGTTTGGGTCCTCGGGGACGTTTTCGGAGCCCTGTTGGTGCGCTCATGGGGCGCTCGGGGGGACCCGGCCGGGACCCGGCCGGGACCCGGCCGGGGACCGGCCGGGACCTGGTCGGGGTACTTTTCGTCCGGGGGCCCCCAGGGGCCGCCCCGCGCGCGCGAACTAGAGAATTGTTAACCAGTTACCGGAGATCTTAGCACGCCTCTGGCCCGTTGGGCCGGCGAATTGGAAGGGGCTTGACATCGGACGATCTGTTTCGTTGCATCTTCTTGGTACCTCGTCTGCTCTCCAAATTCGCGTCTGTTCTTGTGCCAGGCGCGGGCTCGATGCGGACTCGACGCGGATTTGGTGTGGATTCGACGCGGGTTCGGCGTGGATCCGACGCGGAGTCGACGAGTCCGACATGGATTCGGCACGGATTCGACGCGAGCAGGGGCGCGACGGGACAGGCAAGGTCCCCGCATAAGATCTGCGTTGCCAGCACCATCGTTCAAGGTTGAACGATTCACACGTTCTCGAAAGCCAACGCCGTTGCGGCGGCAACCTCGCCGGAGGCGTTAAAGGTTGAATGCTGCAAATAGCCCAGCAATTGTCGACATGGAATGGTCTGGCGATCGAAAAGCCGCCGATCGTTCAAGGTTGAACGATCCACGCGGTGTCGGAAGCCAGCGCCGGGCCGCTACGACACGTACCTGCTGCAGCCCGAGCCGCCCGCGCCGATCCTCACCGCAGGTGTCGCAGAAGATCTGCGCTGCCGGCAAGCCGCGCACCACGGTTCAAGGTTGAACGATTCACGCGGTGTCGGAAGCTGACGCCGCCGCCACGGCGGCCAGCCCGCCGGGGGCGTCCAGGACTGCATGCCGCCAGCGGCCCAGGACCGACCAGTGTGGAATGCCCCAGCGATCGAGGAGCCGCCGAGCGTTCGACGCTGAACGATCCGCGCGGTGTCGGAAGCCAGCGCCGGGTCGCCACGACATGAGTTTTTGCTGCAGCCCGAGCCGCACGCGCCGATCCGCGCCGAGCAGGCAGCACAAGATCTGCGTCGTCGGCAAGTCATAAAACGACGCGAAGATCGGGACAAAATCGGATCGGGATAACTCGAAATCTCTGAGAGTCGGCGGGTTTGGAGGATGTATTGGGCGCCGCGGCCGCTCCAGAGCGTTCCGGAACGCTCTGAGAGCGCTCCGGAACGCTCTGGAGCGATTTATCCCGATCCTAGCTCTGTTTTAAGTCATGTTCCTTAAAAGTTGAACGATTCGCGCGGTGTCGGAGGCTAACAGCGCCGCCGCGGCGGCCACCCCGCCAGAGGCGCCCAAGGTTGAACGCTGGCAGTGGCCCAGAACCGGTTGATACAGCATGATCTGGCGGCTGAAAAGCCGCCGGTTGTTCAAGGGTCAACGATGCCCGCTGTGTCGGAAGCCAACGCCGGGGTTGCCAACGCTGGGGTCGTTTCTTTCCGTTTTTGAATTTGTCGATTTCGGTCAACCAACAATCGGAAAACCACGGCAGAACAACACAGAGGAAAAAACGGCGTCTCGCCATGAGCGACGGCGCAGCGGGACCCCAAGCGGAGACAGACCCCAATCGGGAAACAGACGTCGATCTTCAACACGAAGCAAGAACGCCACCCAGCGTGTTTTTTGATTCTCCATCAAAGCGACGGCAAGCCTGGGGCCCAGGCGGCCCTGAGCCAGCCGCCGGAGCTTGCCAGCATCCCTGCTGGCGCCCCGTTTGCAGGCGCTCCCAGGTTATCACGGCAGGCCGGCGGCATGTTCTCAGGAGAAGGAGGAGGAGGAGGAGGAGGAGGAGGAGGAGGAGGAGGAGGAGGAGGGAGGAGGAGGAGGAGGAGGAGGAGGAGGAGGAGGAGGAGGAGGAGGAGGAGGGAGGAGGAGGAGGATGAGGGGGAGAGGAGGAGGAGGAGGAGGAGGAGGAGGAGGAGGAGGAGGAGGAGGAGGGGGAGGAGGCCACGACACGAGCTCGCCGCAGCCCGAGCCGCCCGCCCGCCGATCCTCAGAAGCAGCAGCGCGGCGGGGCAGCGCGGCGGGCGCTCCTTCGAGAGAGCTCTCGTGGCGCCGCCGCGGTATGCTCGGCAGAGGGGCAGAGCGGGTCGGCGCCTGCCCGCGCAGAGATTGCGGGCAATGATTACATCCATATACAATGCGTCTTGGACTTTCTTGGAAGGGGCGCCGCAAGGCCGAGGCGCACTGGATATGGATAACATGCAGCCTTTGGGGGCCAGATTCTAATCCATATCCAGTCCGCCTCATGTTTTTGGGGAAGAGAGCGCAGAGATCGGGCGCAGGCCAGGCCTGCCGACGTCAGCCACGCGCAGAGGGGGGGGGAGGGCTTCTCAGACGCAGCACTGCTTCTAAGAAGCCCTCCGCCCCTCCCCCTACTCCTCCGTGCGCGCCGCCGACGGTGATCTCTTCATCCGGGCTGTTGCTTCGGCCTGGGCGGTGCAGCGCTGCATGGTGCAGGATCTTGGAGTCGGCTGGGGTGTCTGAGGTGGCCCTGCACTGGTTCCAGCAAGCAGGAAAAGGGGGGGCGAGGTTCGAGGTGCTGGGCTCGAGAAGGTTTTCTGAACTTTTCGGCCTTGGAGGGCGTTCGCGGGCCCCAGGGACCGTCAGGTATGGATCTTGCTCAGATTTGGCCCCACCCCCCTGACCTGACTGATTTTCTCGGGCCCCAACCAGTGCAGACCTCTCGGCCGCCTTCCATGCCGATGGTCTGATCCTTTGGGCTGTTGCTTCGGCCTGGGCGGTACAGTCGGGGCGCTGGAGAAGGAACCCTTTTCGTTGGGGAGGGGCTCCGCATTCCGTAAGTGTTTCGCAACTTGCCTCAGGTTTTCCTTATGTTTTCGATCGGAAATCGAAGGTTAACTTATGGAAAAACGGGGCCTCGTTCCTTGTTTAGGGTTCCTTAGGTCAACGCCCCGACTGTACACCGCTGCATATTGCAGCATCTGCCTTCACCCCTCTCGACCGGGGCTGCGGATCTGCTTCGCTCTCTCTCTCTCTCTTGTCAGTTGGCTCGCGAGGCGAACGGCACGCGCGCGGGCCAACGGAAGCAGCATCGAAAGATATGCACATGCGGATGCTGCTGCGGAAGCAAAGCCAGGCTGCTCACGCTGGTGCGCTTCGCGGCGATGACGTGCCTCTACCTCGGCTGCTGCGTGGCGGCCCCGCCGGATGGTGCAGGGCCCCCTTGCTGGAGTCGTCGCTGTCGCTGTCCATCGTTCTTGCTGTCGTCGTCGTCGTCGTCGTCGTCGTCCTCGTCGTGTTCGCTGAAGGTCGAGCTTCGACGGTCGAGGGGAGGTGGCGAACAGGTGGAGAGTGCGGGGCAGAGGCTCGACCAGGCGGGGACTGGTCAGGCGGAGCAGGGCTCAAGCGGAGGAAGAGGAGGGGCCGTAGCCAGAGCGGAGGAGGAGGCGGATGATGAGGACCAGTTGTCTGCCCGTTCGGGGTGAGAGACGACCGCGCGTCGGCGGGCCCCACGGCGGGCGGCGGCAGCGCGGCACCGCCGCCATAGGGTCGCGCCAGGGGGGAGGACCCCGCCATCTCCCCCGTAGCGCCGGTGGCCCCTCCAGGCGGGCGCCCGCGCCAGGCAGGCGCCAGCGGAATAGCGGCTAGAGCCAGCTTGGCATCGACGCGCGCGTCTGGACGTGGTACCAGCCCGAGTCTTTCACCAACTTGTCAAAGCTCAGCGTCCGCTGGAGGCGCATCACAGCAGCTTCAAGCAGAGCCTCTTTGTCGTAAAGATGGCGTGCCGGCCGTGGAAGCGATGCCCCCAATATTTGGACGTACGTTGCCAAAGGTCAATACGGCCAAAAGCTGGGCTCGTCGTGGCCAGGGTTGCTGGCAGATCCGAAACAAAAAGCAGCAGGTGGACCTCCGTCGCGGCTCACAGTCAGTCGCTGCCCACCATGCTTCAGTCCTGAAGTGCATCGAGCAAGGCATGATGGCCACGACAGAGTTCGCGACATATCAAAGTTCCTTCATCCCGCCCCCAGAGGTGGCGAGTGAGCGCAGGGCCTACTGCAAGATGACGGGGGAACAGGCCACGACGATCGCTGAACTATTGGTCCAGGGCCGTGAGGGGGGGACCATATTGGCGTTGCAGGGATGGAGTCAGGAAAGCGAGATTGTGGACCGAGGCGATATCCCAGGACATGCAAGCGTTAGAAACATATGTGTTGTATGAGAAGTCGGTTGAGATGTACTGGCAGGACCTGTACGACGAGACCAAGGCCAGCGGGCCCATGTCCGAGACCACCGGCTCAGCGAAGGGACGCAACAGGCGCAAGGCGCTTCTAGCGTTCGCAGCACCTTGAGCGGGAGGCGATGCCGATGACGAGGACAAGCGCTCGCCCGCACCTCCTCCCCCGCTACCGCCACCGCCACCACCGAGGCCATCGCGACGCCTCTAGCTCCTGCGACCCTAGCTGTGAAATGGCGACATCTGCGACCTCATGGTCACCGGCGCGCTGAATAGCAAATGCTGCCCGCCGCAGCCCCGCCTCGCTCCAGGCCCTCCCTTCGCTCTCCAGGCAGTCAACCCGCGCCAGCCCGCCGACCGCGGTGGGTGAGGCCAGATGTTCCCCCGCAGCCGTGGCCAGCAGCCCAGGCGCCCCAGCGGTTCCTCATAGGTTGATGGTCGCAAGGGACGAGCTCAGGCAGGCGCAGGTGTCGGCGCGGAGGAAGGTGCAGCGCCGCAGGGAGCGGCGCCAGGTCTCGCCCAAGGAGTTGCAGGCCGCCCTGGTGCAGGCCAAGCATAGCCGCCAGCGGAAGGCCACAACGCAGGCGCATCACCTTGGCCTGGAGCTGCAACGAAGGCACAGGGAGCACGAGGACCCGATGTCACGCTTGCAGAGGCAGCTGCCAAGGCACAAGATGTTGCATGTTTCTGGGCGCCAGCCCGCGGAGATCCCGGGGGCGTCGACGGACCGGCGTGGCGAGCTGGCCGTGGAGAGCGATGCGACGTCCTGGAGGCCTGCCAACATGAGCTCATGCAGGCCAACCGAACTATTTTGCTATTGGTCGCGTGTGCCGCGATGCAGAATGTCGCCATCGCCGTCGTCTTGAGGAACGCGCTGGCCATGTTAGACAGCGTGGGGAGATGAGGCAACGCGCACCATCGCGCTGGACCAAGTTCGAGCATCTGGAAGTGGTCAAGGCGAACCAGGAAACTGAGGAAACATTCAGGCACGGGAGGAGATGGAGCAGCTGGCGGTCTCTCGCAGGACCTTGTCCCAACGTCTGGAAGCTGAGAAGGCGTGGCAAGATTAACCTTGCCGCGAGCAATGAAGGAGCTGAGACATGAGATGCAGGGCCTAATGGAAGGCCAGGCGCATCTTGCCCGGGCGGTTCATGAAGCAGAGAGTGCGTGTCCAGATGCAGGAGCAGATCGCGTCTGTCTAAGCAACGATGGACACCCGGCCCCAGACGTCGCGGCGGCTTCCAGGCGTGGACCACGTCGACAAGGAGCAGGGGGCCTGATGAGGGGGCCACTGAGGTGGCAGCGTGCAACGTCAAGGGGGGCCCTGTGGGGGGCTCCATCGAGGGGGGGCGCGTCGTCTTCGAGCAGGAGAAGGGCAGGCGCTTCGAGGAGGCCACCGTCGACGCACGTTAACGAGCTTGGCGAGCACTCCTGCGGGCCGCAGATGAGCGGCTGACCTCCCGTACCTCCACCCGCGGTGATTCACCTACCGCGGAGATTCAGGTCGACGTGATGCTACGCGAGGAGGGCCAGATGGCCGCGGGAAGTACCAGGGACATGCAGCAGTTCGCGGCGCGACTGCGACATCAGCACCAGCTCGAGGCATTTGAAGCGGAAAGTCGATCGCGGCTTCAACGCCCCGTCGAGAAATCCTTTCACGCCAAGAGCCCCTCTTGCAGGTCGTGGAGCCCCGCTGCCCGTTGCCCCGACCTCGGCGAGCCAGATGCAGAGGGGGCCTGCCAGGATGGAGCTCGTTGCTCCAGGAGTGCAATCATGCTCGGGATCTTTTCTGGCTGCCGGAGGCCCTAGAAGCTGGGTGTCGCAGAATGGTGTTCGTGGAAATTTATTTAGAAGCCGCAGTGGCGTTGTCTCAGTGACGACGGCGCAGGCCCCCTCGAGGGCATGGCCAGCCGACTCTGCTTGCCCCAGCCGGCCCCGCCCCCGCCGACGGTGCCGGGGTATTCTGGAGGCCGTGTCGGCGCGCGCCACAGGCCCTGTCTGGGCGCGACCATGCGCGCGCACCGTCAAGGGCATGCACCAATCGCGCCAGATCGGTGCATGCATTCCACCCAGTAAACAACGACCGTCGTTGCGCGCCGAGAATGGCGCGGACGCGTCGCCCAAGCATTCGCTGCCAGGGGCAGGGGCGGGGGCGGCCCGAGGAATCCGGCCCATTCCAGGCGGGCGAATCGCAGCGAGCTTGCGCGCCGCATCGGCGCGGGGAAGACGCGAGGATGCCGAATTCTACCGAAGCAGGCAGGGTGCATCTGCATAACTGTTGCACCCCCACCCCTGGGGATTGGCCTGAGGAGGCTGTTGAGCGCGACGTCGGTGGGCTTCGCAGATCACCGGCGTTTCCATCCACTTCGGAGTCGTCGGGCGGGGCAGGCGCGCCACCCCCCGCTCGGCACCTGATCCACGGCGATGGTGGAGGTCAATTCTTGCAAGCGCTGCGGGCCGAATAGACCGACGCAGCGGCAGTTCGGCAAGTCGGTTCGGTTGGAGGCGCGGAGCCTGCGTCGAGCGAGCCCCGGGGAAAGACCGCCCCGGACTGCGCGGGGCATCTGGCGGCAACGCGGGCCACGGGCGCGCGAGGGCGGCGCGATCCTGGGCGTCGCGCCCTCGAGGAGATCCACGCGCAAGAGCTGGCGGCGGAGCTCCGAGTGATAGGGGGGGGGGGGGCGGAGGAGGAGGGTGGGGGGGCGCGACGGCCGCAGACTTCCAGCGCCGGGGGCAGTCCACCCAACCCTTCGAGATGGCTCGGGACATGGACGAGCAGACGCAGGCGCGCATGGCGGACCCCGCCGCGCCCGAGGAGGAGGAAGCAGCGGCGGCGCATAAGGCGGCGGCGGCCGTGAATGAAGCTGAACTTGCAGGTGCTGACGATCTAGGACGGCTTCTTGGCTGACCCCCCTGCCCAGCGTCGAGGCGGCTGCAGACGCGGGCCGCTGCTTCGCGGAGAAGATCCCGCCGGGGCAGCGCAGGGGGGGCCTGTCTTCGCCCGCGGGCGCCAGCGCGCGGCCTTCGCAGCGCCGCGCGACCAGTCGGCGCCAGGGGCGAGTTCGCAGGTTCAGACGATCGGGCGAGCCGAGACGACTCGGATATGATCGGCAGGCGCGCGCGCGCCCCCATGGCGCGTCCATTGCGCCGGGCTAGAGGTGGAGGGGCCGCCGCTGAACCTGAGCTTTCGGCGCGATCCAGCCCGTCGGCCGCGGGCGCGCAGGGAGTTTGCGCGGCTGCTGACGATTCGATTGATCAGCGGGAGCCTGGCTATGTGACGATCGTTCTTCCTGAAAGCCCTGAGCCCTGAGCCAGCGCCCAGGGCTACAGCAGGCAGGCATCGCACGTGAAAGCCCCTGACTGCAGGGAAGGGCTAGCCGCCGCCGCTGGAGCGGCTGCCCCGGCGCCGGCGCGCGCGATCACTTCCGCGCGAGCGACGGCCTCGAGCGCTGCTTTTCCGTTGCCCAAGGCGACGGCCATCTCGTCGCCCTGCTGCGGCTGGCGGGCCGCGTGACCTTTCGAGCTCGCATCCGACGCCGCCGTCTTCGCATCGGTGCGCGGCAGGGTTGCGGGCCCCAGCGGACGTGGCCCCAGCCATTTCGGTGGGGGGCGAGTCCAGTATCCCTACGAAGCCTTGGACACAGCCCACGCGCCGCGCATCAACGCCACTCTCCACCTCTTCGCCGAGTGGCGCCCGTCAGCGATTTCTCTCGTAGCGTCTGCAGCCCAGAGGTTCCGACCTCGCTGAATCTCGGGGCTGAAAAGAGATCCGCGGCATCGAGCTCACCGAGCACGCGTTGCTGGCCTTGACCATCGCCGGGATGCTGGTGGCACTGCCCGCCCATGATTGCACTGTCGGACGGCCCCTGTTGGCCTGGTGCCCCCGAACTCTCGGGCTGGGCGCGCGCGCGATAGCCGTTTCGGTCGGCCAGGACTTCAAGTTCCATGGCGACTTCAGCG